CTATTCTTGGACTTACAAAATAGATGTGTTATACTCATTAAGGAGTTCTTGAGAAAAGAAAAAAGAGAAGATGAAAAGGAATCAGCTTTTGGGACACTGTTTAAAGGGAATAGACATCAAGATTGAAAGTAAAAAGAAGGTATATAAATTTGGCTTAGTAGCTCTTAATGGGTTTCTCTCAGCCAGGACTGAATGAGAAGGCTTTAAAGATTTGTTTATAGATATGATATGGGAAGAGATTTTTTGTTGTATTTTCAGAGAAAATGATAAGCTATGGTGTTAAAAGTAAAGTAAAAGATTACAAAATTGGCTTATTTGATCAAGGTTAAAATACAGAAGTTATTGCTGATATGTGTTAAACTTGTGAAGGAGTTTTTGAGAGGAGAGAAAGATAAAATGATAAGAAATCAACTTGTGGGACACTATTTGAAGGAATTAAAGATCAAGATTCTTAATATGTTGTTTCTGATAGCTCTGAATTGATTTTTCTTGATTAGGTTCGAATGATGAGGCTTTAAAGATTGGTTTACAGGTAAGATATGGGAAGAAGGTTTTTGTTTTATTTTTAGAGAAAATGATAAGTTACTGTCTTAAAAGTAAAGTAAAGGAATATGTAACTGATTTATTTTATTAAAGTTAAAACATATATGTTGTTATTTCTGGTAACTCTTAATGGACTTTTGTTGATTAGGGACTGAATGATGAGGCTTTATAATCTGCTTATAGATAAGAAGAGATGGGAAGAAGAGATATTTTGATGAAATGTTAGAGAAGGTGATAAGTTACTGAAATTGTTTGTACTTGTCTTGATGAAGGGGGAAGTCACTTCTTTATATATCTTTTTTCTTTTGTTTTTCTATTTTCTTAGTTTGTATTAGTTTTTTTATCTTTGTACTTTGAAACTCTAATAAAAATTATTACATATATAAAAAAAGAGAACATGGCTTGTTTTGGTGGGATATTTAAAAGCCTGAATCAGAGCAGGAGAGTTTCCAGTGCTTTATAGCTCCCATTCTCTCCTTTGGAGACAAAAATATGAGAAATCATACAGCCAAAATTTGACCATCTACTCCAAATGTCAGTGGTACAATTCCAGAGTACTGGGAGGAAGTCTGCCAGCACAGTGCTAGGAAGCCATTTATAGCTTGGGGCCATAGGTTGTCCATCTCTGATATATGTCAGAATGAATAGAACTATTGTCCTCTATTCCTTAACTCTTCTATAATTCTATAATTCCATGACTATGATGAAGCTGAATGGTGGGAACTTCAGGACAAATAAAGGTAAATTCTTCATACAATACATTACAGGTAGTCCTCACTTAACAACCGTTTGTTTAACAACAGTTTGAAGTTATGGCTTTGGAAAAAGTGCTTTATGACCTGTAGTTGCACTTATGACTGTCATAAACTGTCTCACTATCCCCCCAGTCATGATTTGCGACCTTTTTCCAGATGCTTGCTAAGCGAATCACCATGGTCGTTAAGCAAATCACATGGCCATTAAGTGAATTCCAGCAAAAAATCCATTGGGGAAGCTGGATTCACTTAATGACCAGGTGATTTGCTTAATGACCACTGTGATTCACTTAATGACCATTGTAAAATGGTCATAAAATTGGGTCTGGTCATGTGGTGACTCGCTTAATGATCGCCCTGCTTAATGACTAATTTTCCAGTCCCTATTGTGGTTGTTAAGCAAGGACTATCTGTATTACACTTTGCAATTTACTGTTTGGAAATACAGTGATGGCTGCAAACTTGAACAATTTTAAAAGACGGGCTAGGATAACCTCTTCTTCACAGAGTTAGTGAGAAGATAAAATTGTGTGCTACCTTGCGGTCTAGTGGAAAGGCAGAATGCACACCTACTTATTAGATGCATGAGGTAATCACTTAAACTGACAGTATAAACACAGAGACAAACATTAAGAAGACCAAACAGTACAAGGGACTGTAGTAGGAATGTTACAGTTCAAGCAGAAAACAAATGAATCCAAGATTAAATCAGTGTGGATGTAACCTGGCCTTGACTAGCAGATGGTGTGCACATAACAAAAACAAGAAAAACAATTACTTTCTGTAGGGATCAAGCTACTCATTATAAGGTTCACGGTATAAAATTTGCTAGGCAAGCCTCTGGCATATTTCCAATTCTAGGTTTTCACAAGTGGCAAAGTCTAATTTGGCAAGAACAGAATTCCAGGTACCTTTCTGCTTCCTCTCCATGCTGAAGGTTGAAGAGCAATGAAGGCACAATCTTGTCCATATGCTGAGGGTCCCAGATGTTTGCCTGCAACTCATCATTAACTGTTTTCCGGACCACACCCTGTAGTCCTTTGATGCCAGACATCCGAATCCTTTAGGAATAAAAGATCAATTTTAAAAAGGTAACAGGAAATGGGGTTTTCCTTCTGTTTGTAATGCCTGGCTCCCGAAGGATACTGAACATGTATACTCTAGGGCCATGGTTCATAGGGTGCCACACTGAATGCACAGGGGCACCGCAGGATATTTTACTAGTTAATAAACAGACCTGTTAGTGAGTTTGCTGCAGGGCCCCAGTGTGCCACAGTGCACTGTTTGGGAACAGCTAGGGGCACTACGAACCGAGAAAGTTTGAAAGCCTCTGTGCTAGGGAGGTAAGCGTTTATTGGTAACTCTCCAGCTGTTGGAAAGGAGACCCTATTGCAACAACAGCTTGTAACATAGTGGAAGAAAAAGCACCATAGGCATCAAGGCCCAAAGCAAAATATAACTGTGCATTAAGTTTAAATAGTACAAACAGTGAAATGGGAACATTCGATGCACGAAGATAAATGATTACAGTAGCAGTACAGTGGTTAGAAAATGTCAAAGACTCAGAACATCCTAGTTCAAATCCTTATTTTTCTATAGGCTATACATAATTTAGCTGGCCATTTTAATCTTGAGCCAGAGTCCTCTCTTAGCTTAGCAAATTTCATAAAATCATTTTAAGGGGAGTAGGAGAGGAAACCATCTACGCTATTCTGAGCCCGATGGATGAAAGAGGAATAAAAATATACCAGTAACTGTAGCAATAATTACTAACAAATATAAAAAATAAACATTAATATTACATGACTAATAAAGTATAAGAATAATACACCTAAGTTGCACATTCTGCATGTACAATTTAAGTATGCAAGAAATGAATGTGTTACTTTGAGTTCATCCATTTAATCCTTGACAGTGTATGCATGAAAGAAGTAGGAAAAAAAAGTTGTGTGCACGCAAAGAGAAGAAAGATAACTCTGTATATTGCAGTCAATTTCCCTGTATCTGGTTATTTTAGTATTCCTGCACTGGATGCTCTGCCATGGAACATTACACCTTATGGTAACATCCTCCCCTTCCCCTCAAAATAAAAATAAAAATCTAAACATCCCTACTCAAGCATATGGCCCAAAAGGCAGCACAGTAGTGAATTTTATCTGTAAAATTAAAACTCAACTGAAATAACCCTTTCATTAATCTGTCCCGAACCTCCTGCCAAACCAAGTGACGCAGAGTTTTAGCACTAATATGAGGGAGGACAACATTTTCCCCAACCCACAATTCCAAAACATGCAGAAAAGAATAAAAACAACAGCATTAATAAGAGGCAACTAGCTGAAGAGTGTTAGTCACCAGTTAAGTGGCTGCATCAAAAGGCCCCCTGGTATGCCATATTGTAAACTACCACCTTCACCCTTAGCCTTGGCTTTTCATTATCCCTCAGCTTTGGAAAAGCTTCTCCAAGCTTCCATATTTGTCAAAGGGCAAGGAGAAACAATTAAAATACATCCTTAGGAGGTTAATTGTAGGACACAGATCATCCCAAGAACAGCAGGGAGGGTGATTGTGGGCAGATGCTAAAATAGATCTAAGACAGCAGCAACCCACAATGCTTTGCAGGTGGGGAAGAGGAGGGCAAGAAAGCACAAATTGCTTTTAAAAAGCGCTATGGCTGAGGCAGAGTTGGCTGACAGTAAATAATATGCATCTGATCCTGTTATTCATGATTAATCCTTTGGGGAGGAAGAATCATCTTCATCAAAAGGGAAGGGGGATTCTCTATGAAACTTGTCCTTTTGGTGACTACAACTTCCAAAGGTAAATTATGATCACATCCAGAATTTTGTTATATCATTCTTACAATGTTGAAGGAATGACAGATTGGAAGGTTGAAGGGCCTACTGATTGAAGAGATTCATATTCCTCAGTTGCATTTGTAGAGATTAATCTAATCCACCCCAGCCAACATGAAGAATAGCTATAAATGGCAGATGGATAGGAATACAAGACTCATTAATTAAAAGTGAAGGAACTGGTATAGAAAAGAGCAGACTGATGGGGACATCACAACATGCTTGGAATACCTGAAGGGTGCAAAGCCTTGAGCTTCACTACTCCAGAGGACAAGATAGATGGAGTGGATTTAAATTACTGGAACTAGATTTCAGTGGAGCATTGGAAGAGTTTTTATAGGACAGTTTGATCATGGAGTTAATTAGCAGAGTGGTGGGGTCTAACTGGAGTTCTTCAGACAGGGATTGGACACCCATCTGTAAGGGATATTTTATACTTTGGCAATCCTGTATTGAAAGAGGAGGTTGGACTTAGCCAACGTTGCTCTTTCAATTTTAAAATCATTTGAAATAGGAAATGCTCCTGGTATATCTATTATTTCTGTTTATAAACTAAATTAATGTAGGGCACCATCATCAGGAAACCATCCTGTGTAAGTTTTACACACAAGTTGGGAAAAGCACATGTATTCATTTAATTTCCTATTGTCCTGGGCACAGAAGCAAACAGGCTTTAAAACTGCAGCAAATACTAGCCCTTGGGTCTGGATGCCATGATGAATTAGAAAAGGCATGAACCACTTCATGGCATTATGACAAAGTGAGACTTTTTGTACCAGGCCTGATTCATCTGTCTGACTGATTCAGGGATTTGGTTCCAGGCCATGGATCTCTCCTTTTCTGGAGGGACTCCATTCTTTCTTCCCCACCTTGCCTTGACAAAGCTAGGTTGAATAACACAGGAGTTAAAAATGTATGCATGGGTTACCATGTTAGGAGTTTGCTAGGGAAATTCAACAGAAGAATGAGAAAAAGAAGAGAGGAACATGTTTAGAGAAGCTATATATTTGAAGGGACTTTGTGCTCAATTGTAATGGATGAGAAGGATACCTCTTGAACAACAGTCTGCTATAGTTTACTGGAAGACCACTTCCTGAGGAAGGTAGAAGGAATGTAAAGAGTGAGCTCAGAGCAACCAAATAGTTTGCTAGGTGAGCTTGGGGTGGGGAGTCTCTAATAAATTTCCTCTAAGTCAAGAGTGTGTACTGTACTTAACTACTTGAGAAGTGAACAAGAAGATATAGATGTTTTCTTGGATAGAGCCTAGAGCAATGTTTCTTAACCTCAGATGCCTTAAGATGTGTGGATGTCAACTCCCAGAATTCTGGGAGTTGAAGTCCAGACATCTTAAAGTGGCTGAGGTTGAGAAACACTGCTCTAGAAAAACAATCATGGAGAAAATCTATCTGTGTGGTTGCTAGGAGTCGCAAACAACTTGATGGCGCATAATCAGAGAAATAAAACTGAAAATAAAAGATCAGGAATCTGCAGGCATAATGTGCAGTATTTGTGGCTAGTTTGTGTTCCTGCCCTAAAAGAAACAGGCAGATGTTTGCAGCAAATTCTACCTTGTAATGGTGCTTAAAGAAAAGTCAGGGGACTGGAGCAATTTATCAGATGAAACAAAGGAAGCATCACAACAAGAGCTGACAAAGGAAGCAAATCTCCATAAGAAAGACAATCAAAAACTAAGGAGCAAGCTTAGTCTGACAACTCCCTTGAACTAATGTAGAAAAAACATTGCTGGAATTCTGAAATGACTTTCAGGTTCTTAAAGAAAAAAATCTCTAAGCATTCAAGGGAAAAGAAGAAACACTGCAGAAGAGGAGATAGGACAGTGGATATTTGAAGGGCATCTGGGATGCAGTTGAAGCCTGCAACAAGACACCATAAATCCTGGTGGTTGTTGACATACGACAAGGAACTGAAACAAATGTGGGCTGAGCAGACCCACTAGTTTATGAGGTGCACAGTTGACCAGATGCAAGGATTATAGATGTTACAGAACAACTTCCAAAATACAGTGTGCACTGACAATTATCTTTTCCTTCTAAACCACTTGATGACAAATAATATTGCAATGGATCATCAGTTAAATTATCATGGCCTCTGAGGATCTAGGAAAGACTTAGAGGGCTCAGATCTTTCAGACCATGGAAGAAGATGGAAAATGAAAGAGTACTGCAAGAGCACTGCAGAATAAATGCCTACACAAATGATATTAATGAGAGAGATCTGATTTCTGGGATCATGGTCTAGGTTATTAACATAATATCAACACAAACTGAAAGCCAGTTTGGTGTAGTGGTTAAGGTGCTGGCCTAGAAACTAGGAGACTGTGAGTTCTAGTCCTGCCTTAGGCATGAAAGCCGGCTGGTTGACTCTGGGCCAGTCACTCTCAGCCCAACCCACCTCTCAGGGTTGTTGTGATGGGGAAAATAGGAGGAGGAAGGAGTATTAGGTATGTTTGCTGCCTCGACCAAAATATGAAAAAAGGCAGGATATAATAATAAGACTGCTGACATAAGAGGGATTGTATCTCATGAAGATTATTAAGAATGTGTTTGGTTGGAGGCTGGCAAGCTTGGTTATGAGGATTATATCTTGTAGGAGTTGAAGACAACAACCTTGAGGTAAAGAACCCAAAGATTTCTGAATCTTTGTGAGTGGAAGTGAGACATTTGTGATTTGAGACATTTGCGAGTGGAAGTGTGCGTTAATGGGATCTATTACATCAGCAACAGCAATCGAAACATATAATTTGTTCAAAAGGAACCAAAGCAATAGAGAGGGAGGATGTATGCTAAAATACCTATACCTGCTCAAAAATCCAAGTAGATGCAGTAGAGCGCAACTGGGTAAAATAAGTGGAGGAATGGATAAAAGCTGTTACTGATATTTGTTGCCCAACAAAAAGAATATGTGGATGATGCTTTCCAAAAGCAAGCCTCAGATCTTCTAAAATGACATGAACTGTTAGTGATGCAGGACTTTAACTCTTCTCACATCTGTTGAAAAGAAAAGCCTCTGCCAAACACGGTCCAAGAAATTCCTGACTTGACTTGTTGACAAATTCTTTCAGAGGAGGGACAAAAGTATAAAAAGGTCAATTAACTTTGACTTGATATTGACTTGAGAACCAGTTTGGTGTAGTGCTAAGCTGCTGCACTAGAAACCAGAAGATGATGAGTTCTAGTCCTCCTTTAGGCACGAAAGCCCGCTGGGTGATTTTGGGTCAGTCACTCTCTCTCAGCCCAACCCATCTTATAGGGTTGTTGTGTGGAAAATAGGAGGCAGGAGCAATAGGTATATATACTGCCTTGAGTTGAACAAAAATAAAGGCAGGAGAAAAATCTAATAATAAATGTAACTAGGAGTTCTAAAAAGGGAGATACTAAAAGCACAATTACAGTAGGGAAAAGAAAATGGAAGACAGCAGAAGAAGCCAATATGGTGGTACAAAAGCTTACTGAAGATCTGAAAAAAGGGACACAGAGGTGATAAAAAGAGGGCCTACATTAGGAGGAGATTGGACTTCATGGCCTAAACCAGTGTTTCTCAACGTTGGCCACTTGAAGATGTGTGGACTTCAACTCCCAGAATTCTCCAGCAAGCCATGCTGGCTGGGGAATTCTGAGAGTTGAAGTCCACACATCTTCAAATGGCCACGGTTGAGAAACATTGGCCTAAACAGTCTCTTCCTACTCTATGATGCTGTTTTAGGACTGCTAACATCACCACTGTTTAAAATGCTAATCATACATATTCACCACACTCTCAACCCCCCCTGCCTTCATGCAGAACCTCTGGGTTTCTATGTACCCTAGGAAACTTGGGAATGGAAGACAACCTCTCCAATAATATGCTGAACATGTGATGCACAAGGAAGAAGTAATGCTTCTCATGTTGCTTTTGCTTGCACTTAAAATAGCATCTAAGCTGCCCAAAATGCAGGAACCATTGGCTGCCCCCAAATTTATCCAAGTTCCAAGGACTGAGTCAAATGTAATGCTACAGCATCCTAGAGATACATTTGTTGTATCAAAAATGGACATCACTATTGGTAGTGAAAACTCTGTGGATAGAGGAACTGATCCCCACAGATGTGCTCCAAACTGGATGAGGGTAGAATGGGGTGGAGGGGAAGACCCCAAGATACCAGTTCTTTCTGGCCCTTCTTGGCAGACAAAAGAGGCACATTTTCCTCTCCTGAGAAGAGTTAAATTTGAGGGGCGCAGCGGCAAGTCAGCATCTATTTATACCACTAGATGGCACCCACGATCTCTGTTTTTTAAATCTAAAATCTTGCAAATGTCATCAGAATTTGGCCATTAAAAAAAA